TCACCTGTGGTCAGGAGTTCAAGACCAGCCTGGCCAACACGGCAAAATGCCGTCACCTACTTAAAATACAAAAATTTACCAGATGTGGTGGCGCAAACCTGTAGTCCCAGCTACTCAGGAGGCTGAGGCACAAGAATCGCTTGAAACCTGGAGGTGGAGGCTGCAGTGAGCTGAGATTACGCCACTGTACTCCAGCCTGGGTGACAGAGCAAGACTCTGTCTCAAAAAAGAAAAAAATGCATTCAAAACCCTACAAAGAATCTGATTTTACTGTTGAAAATTTATCTGTAGTATTATGCATCTACAAAATATAAGTTCACTCTTACCACTCTATTTTGCAATGAAAACAATCTCAAAACATAATTCTACACTTTTTTTACACGTCAATTTGTAAAACAGTCTGAAATGCACCTGAGACTCAGGAGAGTCTCGCTCTGTGGTCCAGGCTGGGGAATGAGAGAAATGGGGGTTGGGGGAGTTGGGGGGTACATTTTGGTCAAAGGGTACAAGCTGCAAGATGAATAAATTGTGGAGATGAAATGTGCAGCACGGTAAGAATAGTTAATAATACTATATTGCATATTTGAAATTTGCTAAGACAGTAGACCTTAATTGCTCTCATCACACAGACATTAAAAAACCAAGTATTTGTGAGGTGATTATATGTTAGCTTCACGGTAGTAATCATTTCACAATGTATACAACTATCAAAACCTCATGTTGTCCACCTTAAACATATACAATTAATTTTTTTTTCCTGAGACAGTCTTGCTCTGTCACCCAGGCTGGCGGCACCACCTCAGCTCACTGCAACCTCTGCCTCCCGGGTTCAAGTGATTCTCGTGCCTTAGCCTCCCGAGTAGCTGGGATTACAGGTGCGTGTCACCACCCCTGGCAAATGTTTGTATTTTTAGCAGAGGCAGGGGTTTGCATGATGGGCAGGCTAGTCTCCAACTCCTAACCTCAGGTGATCTGCCCACCTCACCCCCCCAAAGTGCTGGGATTACAGGTGTGAGCCACTACGCCTGGACTTTCGGTGAAACTGTAATTTCTCTTAAGTTACAGTAACTATATATCCAAACAACAGATGTAAAATACAATAATTTTTAAATATGTGCATATGTGTAACCATAAACAATTAAGGATAGACCTATGTATAACCATAAACAATATTTCTTTTTTTTGAGACAGTTTCACTTTTATTGCCCAAGCTGGACTGCTATGGCTTGATATCAGTGTTGCCCAGGCTAGAGTGCAACGGTGTGATCTCAGCTCACTGCAACCTCCGCCTCCCAAATTCAAGCGATTCTTCTGCCTCAGCCTCCTGAGTAGCTGGGACCACAGGCAGCCGCCACCAGGCCTCACTTTTTTTTTTTTTTTTTTTTTGGTATTTTTAGTAGAGGTGAGATTTCACCATGTTGGCCAGGCTGGTCTCAGACACCTGACCTCCGGTGATCCACCTGCCTCGGCCCCAAAACACTAAACTGCTGGGATCACAGGTGTGAGCCACCTCGTCTGGCCACGTTTTTTCTTTATGTGATACTATGCATTAACTACTTTTGACTATCAACTTATGCAGTCTACAGTTATGTACAAAATTGCTGTAAGACAGGAATTTTGAAGGTCTACAAGCACATGGTTAACAAGATAAATCTACAAAATACCATACCACTGAGATATTTGGCTATCTGTAACAAAGTCTCATAAACTATAACAATTTTTTTTCTTTTTTTGAGACAGAGTTTCACTCTTGTTGCCTAGAGTGCAATGGTGCAACCTCTGCCTCCTGGGTTCAAGCAATTCTCCTGCTTCAGCCTCCCCAGTAGCTCGGACTACAGGCACCCACCACCACATCCAGCTAATTTTTTGTATTTTAGTAGAGACGGGATTTCACCGTGTGGGCCAGGATGGTCTCAATCTCCTGACTTCATGATCTGCCTGCTTCGGCCTCCCCAAATGCTGGGATTACAGACGTGAGCCACCGCGCCCAGCCAAACTAGAATTGTTACTTTCAATGGGAACCACTTATGAATGTTATTAATACTTAGTAACGAAAAATTTTAGAAATCAGCAGCTATTAACTACTGAATATCAAAACAAGTCACTCACATATAACCTGAAGGAGAAGTTATTCACAGAATGGGCCCAAATTAGCTCATAACCATAAACGAAGCTAAAAAAAATTCAGTTCCAGTACTATGTGGTAACCTATCATACAATTTTATTATACTGGTCAGCTAAAGGAATAATGAAATTCTCTCCCACCTCTTCTCCTCAACAATACTAGCTCCAGAAGGCAGGGATCTTGGTCTTTTTAGCTATACAGACAAACCCGCAGAACAGTGCCTGGCACATAATATTCAGTATTTGTTGAACAAATAAAATGATGGCAAAACAGGTAAGACCAGGGAAACCTGAAGAGATCAAAGAGTTTGATTACACACAGATGAAAGTACAACTGGTCAATCAGAAGGCCATTAACCTGAGTGAGTTGATGTCAAATGTGAGTTACTCCACATTTTAGAAAAAAAATCTTTAAAACTTCAGAATTCAAGAATGAGGAGTGTACGACCGCAAACACTCCTAGAAAATCTGTTGTACAAAACTATTAACTTCATAAAATTCTAAATTCTAAACTCTACTTTTAAATGGTCAGAATTTAGCAGGAAAATTATTAATATTACTCACAAATTCATAAAGCCAACTCTTTGCCCAATTATAAAGGAAAACATACTAGTAAACTTCGTTAGCACTCTGTCAATACTGCTGACTTCCTGATATAATTTCTCACGTTTACTTATAAAAAAGTTTGAAACATTCAAAAAGCCTTTATTATCAAAAACACTTAATTCTCCTAAATACATCGTACCTATTTACACAAAGCAGAAGTTTCCTCACACTGACTTTAGTATTAGTGTTCTTGCAATTTCAGAATTCTCCATCAGGTGTATCCTTTTCAATTTTAGGAATTCAAAAAGGTCCTCAGGTTCTCTGGGACTAAATTACTTAACTCAACTGGGGCATATTTAGATAATAAGTCTTTTCCCCACTACAACTGCACTTCAGGAAAAGGAAAGTGACAATAAATTCCTCTCTTATACCTGCACATCATATGAAGTATTTGTGAATCTAAGAAGGGAAGACCAAGATCTTTCTCTAATTTTACTTTTAAAAATCTTCTGTCCAATTGCTAGTTCGTCTGTCTTGATGTATGCCTTTTATTGGAGCAACATGGGCCAGTATGTCCAGTTTGTTAACAACAGAACATTTTAATTGCTTGCCATAAGGTATCTGAATCAGATATGACACCCAAAGTTATACCCTATGTTCTAAACACCAAAAGGGTACGACTCAACGTAACGCCAAAAAAGTAAGTTTCTGAGCAGAATGCGTTTGCTGTCACTGAAACCGATGAAAGAAAGCAACTCCACAAGGCGACTACGCTCATTCTTTGGGCTCCCAAGGCTGAGAAATGGAGAACCAATTGTCCGGTTCGCTCTCTGTGGCTTCCCCCCGGCCTTCCTCCGAGTGGCGAGGCAATCCTGCACAAGTTTGTAAAGTGCTTAGGAGGCTTGCGGGATGAAAGACGCTATAAATACACCCCATGTTACTAGTTTATGATCACTGAGCATTCCGTGCAACCACTGTCACTGCGTCGAGGGCAGGTTGATGGCATAGCCCTTCCTGGGAAGGGGGACACAGGGCAGCCCTTTCATCACCCTAAAAGCTAGGCTGGGTTATTTTGGAAAGTGCAGCGAAACCCCACGTGAAAAGTTCCACACATGCCCCACACAGGGAGGACTCCGCCGCGGCCAGCAGTGGCGGAGACTGGGCCTACACCCCGGCAACGTGGGGAAGCGTGGGGCAGCCGAGGGGCCCTAGCCGCAGCCGACGCCCACGGGGCGGCTGGAGAAGCAGCTCCCAGACGGGGGCGCGGCGCCAGGCCCGGGCTCCCGGCGCGGAGAACGGCCCGGGAGGGCGGCCGCGCAGGGGCCCCGAGCCGCCCGCTTGCTGGGAAGGCTCGCGCCCCGCGGCCGGCGGGCGTGGGGGAGGGGAGGCCGGGCCTGCGGCCTGTTGGGGGAGTTCAGCCCGGGCCTCGCGTGCCGCTCTCGGCCCGGCCCCCGGCTCCGGGGTCCCGGACGCCGGGGAGAGACTCACCGGAAAGGCCCGGATCCGCATCTTGGTGTCCTTCCGGCTGCCCGTGCCTTTGCTCAGATTCGACATGGTGCTCGTCCCCTCCCCGGCGGCGGCTTCAGGTCGCGCTCCGCGGCGCCGGTGTCACATTTAAGGCGGGCGGGCAGGCGAGGGGCGACGCTGGGGGCGGCGGCGGCGCGGCCCCCGGGCAAGGCTAGGGAGCTGGCCGGCCCCTGAGCAGCCGCGGCGGCGGCGGGGACGACGGCGGCGGCTCGGGCTCCGGCGACTCCGACGCGGCTGGGGAGCTGCGCTGGCGCGGCGGCTCCGCGGGGTCCCCCTCAGGCCCGGCTCCGCTCCCTTTATCGCGCTCCTCCGCGATGGCGGCGGCGGCGGCGACGGACAAACATCTCACTGCGCAGGCCGAACGTCGTCCTCCTCCTCCTCCTTCTCCTCCTCCGCCTGAGCGAGACGAGATCCGGCCCAGAGGGTGGAGGGGGGAGGAGGGAGGGAGGAGAGCCGGAGAGTGAGAGATGCGGGGGGAGGGAGGTGGGAGGACGGGAGGGGGAAGCGGGCGGCAGCGGCGGGGACGCTCAGATCTCGCGAGAAGAGGGCGAGCGCGCTACTCCTCGTGGGGCGGGGCGAAGCCCGGGAGCGGGAGGACGCCACCGGAGGGGAGGAGGGGAACGGGGAGTTGGGGGGGGGGGTAGAGAAAAGGGGGCGTGGCTAAGGGCAGGAGGCTTAAGATGCCTTTTTGAAAGAGGAGCGCCAGGTCCCGGGTCCTGGGCGGAGGTGGTTGCTGATTGGTGGAACTGCATGTGGGGTTGGCGGGGCGGGGGGTCCTGGTCACGTGGGGGGAGTGGGCGGGGGAAGTTCGAAGAGCCGGAGCAGGATTGTAGTGGGCTGGGGCCCACTGGGCTGAGATGAGAGGTTAGTCTGGAGAAAGAGCGTGGGGTGCTAGATAGATAACTATGTCCGGAACTGGTTCCTGTGTTTTTCTAGGGCATGTGGACTAGGGGTGGGTACTTGAGCAGGAGCCAGCAACTTGAATGAAGCGTTTGTGCAGGAGTTACCTGCATTGTCGGAAATTACTGTCCTGTGTGCTCAACAAGGTATTCGGACTGGGTGTGCACACAACAACTCTCAGGACTGGAGGGTGGAAATTTAATCTACAAAGTGCCCTTAAACTGCAAAAACTTCGGGACCTCTTGATTCACTGATATTTTTTGGTGGACCCAGGGCTTCTTAATGTTAAAACCTGTTTTTCATTGCTATCAGAAAAAAATGACAGCTCCATTAATGAAATGCAGCATTTGGTAAATGATGTTAAATGGAATGATAGAAAGCTAACTTTAACCAACCAGATGAGTCATTTCTGCTATTACCAAGAGTACTGGAGGTTTTTAAAGCCAAAATTACTGTCTGATACCGTTGCTGTATATTTGAAAAGTTTTGTCTTTTGGTTTTGGGGGAGAGGGGTTTGGTCATTTTATAGTCAAAATGTCTAATCTGACTCATGGTTTTGCTGTCCATTTATTATGAATTATACTTCCTCATTTACCTACTTGCCCAAGTGCTGTTATGTTTGGGTTTTTGACTCTGCAAGGGAATATGCGAGTGCCTACTAAAGTTTGTCATCTTCCTATTTTAATGAAGCAGCTGTTTTGGGGATGGATATGTACATTTAGAAGCTGAAATTGTAATACTTTAAATAGCAAACTTAATATAAAGTGAAATACACTTATTTGTTGACTGTAAGGTTGAATTTACCCTAAATTAACCCTGATGAGTAAGCTTATGAGTTGTTGCGCTTAAATCCCCTACTCGGTTGAAACGCCCCATTGCAAATACCATATTTTCTTGTTTTTTTTTTTTCCTGTGGGCGTTTTTTGGTATTGGCTAATTAAAGCAGGAGCTTAAAAAACAAGAATGTTGCTTAAGATAATACCTAAATACTGAGGCTAAAAATAGGTTATCAAGAATTGATAAACTAAGATTGGGAGGGGCTCTGACTTCAATATAAGATAATGTCAGTATTGGGTAGGAGTTTATAATTTGTATGCTAATTGAACCTTTATTTCCATAATATTAGAATATAATAACAAACAATGTTTTCCTGTTGTTTGTACTCTGGTATGGCCCAGTTTCTTTGTACTCTAAGAATATATGTTCAGAACAAGGATCGCTGAGAAGCCATAAAAATAAATTTAACAGTGGTGTCACCTCGGCTTCCTGCAACCTCTGCCTTCCTGGAAAAAAAAAAAAAGAAAATTAGTTAAAAATATATATTTAAAAATATATATATGTTCTTGGAGCCATTGTTTGAATCCCAATTCTGCCACTTTACTAGTTGTGTTATGTGTCTTTTGGGGCATGGAGTTGACAATGCCTAGAGTTCCTCATCTGTAAAATGGAGACAATAACAATACTTCCTCCTTGGGCTACTATGAAATTTAAATAAGTGAATACATTTTTAAAAGCCCTGAGAGTTGGGCATGGAGCAGCCAGTTGCCACCTATATTGGCTGTTATTAACATGGGCATTAAAGCCAAGGTTATACTACTTCCTTTATTCAATAGGTAGGTTTCTTTAAAAAAACACTTGTACGCTTTTATAAAATGAATCATATTTTGAAATTAAGCCAGTCACTGACATTTGGATCTCTCAGTCCAATAAAATATTTTCTGATAAGCTAAGGAGTCAATATAGGTTTGACTTTATATTGGCAAGGGCATTAAAAAGGTACAACTAGCATAGACTATCCCCATCATTTATTAAAAAGTATTTTAACCTCAGAAATGGGGAAGATCCATTTTTGAATAAATGACAGTTTCTTGAATTTACCAGCCTCAGGATGAACAATGCGTCACACTGATTTTTCTCATTTCACTGTGAACTTAAGGAGATGTCATAGGTCAGCATTTAGGAAATCATTACATTAAGGCATATTTCTACTTAATTGTAAAGCATATAGTAAATATGGTAACTCTAATGTATTTGTTTTGTGAACCCAGATTTTCATATGTTGGTGTTGCTTAACCAAAATTTAGCTGCAGCTAAAAGAATCATTATAAACTGTGTCTTCCCTTGGCTATTAACCACCAACAATCAGAAAAACGATTCAAAATGAATTTTTCATTAAGAAGTCTGCTCATTTATTTGTTCAGTTATTCATTTATTCAAGAATTATTGTTGAATGGCTACTATATGTCAGAAACTAGGGTGAATGAGACAGATGGGACCTGCCATCACATCCTGTTTCACATCTCACAGTTTGTAAACCACAGACCCACTTTGGATTTGGCCCCAACTTTGTATATACTTCAGTCCAGAAATCAGATATTTTCCTTCCTAAGGAAGCAGCATCCTCAAAATGTATACAAAATACTTTCTGAAGCAGCAGTAGACTTTTTCTGTGCCCAGTTATATTCCCTGACTTGAAGATAGCAAGTAAACTTTCAGGATGTTGCTTTTCTGCAAACTGCCACCTAATCCAGCAGAGAAAGCAGCACCGGAACAGGAACGCACTAGATCTTGCATGCCTGGCGATTGGTATTCCTACTCATGCTGACAGTGTCCTGACACAGGAAAACAGTGGCCTCATTTTCATTTATTCTTTCCACTTATTCGTATGGAGCACGTGCAGTCAGAGAGATCAGGCAGTTGAGTGGGCCAGCCTCTTTCCCACATCCTGGTCTGTAAAAGAGGAATATAAGGTGTGAGGAGCTGGTGAAAGGAAGTAATAGCCTCTTCTTGACCATCAGTTTCTAGGTATTCAGGATACCAAGTCACTTTAATCAGTGTTTCAGATCTGCTGATTTTATTATATGGATATTGGTTATTAAAATAGCTCAAAGCCCACCATTTCAATTAGAAAAACCTGTTCAATGGTTTTGAGTAGACCAAGACTAGGTTAGAGAAAGAAAATGTTTTTCGAATTGAAAGGCAAAGATGTATAGATATTATCAGCTCCTGGAATGGAAGGACTAGATCTTCTGCTTTCTTGTCTCTACCAGGCAACTAATAAGTATTATAGGCCATTAGATGTGGAGTTGTACATATTTAGGGTAGTAGCATGTGTATGTGCATTACGAGATGACATGTTATTGATGAGTACCCCATTGAGAACATAACCACAGATGCTTAAATATGTGAAAACTGTAAGCCTTCTCCATGTACCTTTTCTACTGTGTCCTTAAAATTTTCCTTACATATTGAGACAAAAAGCATATGAGACATATGAGCATATGAGACAAGTTGCATCTTAAACTAAAAAATTTTAAATGTCTGATTGTATCATAAAAATCCATCTCAGTTTTTCATCACCCTGTCATGAAAAGAAAATCATTTCCCTGGTAGCTCTGGAAATATTCTGGTTGGCTTGGATAGTGTTCTGTTTATTCCACATATACCTAATAAATTAATATTCTGGAAATAAAAATATCTATACGACCAACTAACCTAATTTAACATAATATGAATTCTCAATTTAAAAATATAGGCATGGCATCTATGTAATCTTATTTCAAAGAAAAAGAATTTCTTCTTATTGATACCATTGTAACAGTAAGTGTATCAAGAAATCCCCAGGGGACCGTTATGAGTATGTATTGCTTTCATTCATGACAAGTAAAGTATACATTCAGATTTATAACTCATCAGCTCTGTCTTTGTGAAGTAAGTTAATTTTGGAGTTGAGATAAAGCATTGTGCCAAAAGAGCTATAAAAGTAATAGTCTAAATTTTATACTAGATTTAGTAATTGTATGAATTATAAATACTACACTGGTCAAATATAATAAAATGGCTAAAATGGAATTATCTCTTTTTTTTTTTTTGAGACAGAGTGGAGTGAAGTGGCATGATCTCAGCCCACTGCAACCTCTGGGTTCAAGCAATTCTCCTGCCTCAGCCTCCCAAGTAGCTGAGACTACAGGCACGCACCACCATGCCCAGCTAATTTTTTGTATTTTTAATACAGATGGAGTTTCACCATGTTGGCCAGCTGGTCTCAAACTCCTGACCTTGTGATCCACCTGCCTCAGCCTCCCAAAGTGCTGGGATTACAGGCGTGAGCCACCTCACCTGGCAATGGCATTATCTTTAAACTTCTTTAATAAGCTATTTGTCTTCAGTTCCTAATAAAACTATATTCTTAATTCATATCTAAAACCGATAGATATCAAAATCTGAGAGAAGGAGCCCTTGTAAAGAGAAGAACCTTTAAAAGTCTAAAAGATATGAGAATTGTTGGGGTCAGGTGGGCATGGTGGCTCACACCTGTAATCCCAGCACTTTGGGAGGCCAAGGCGGGCAGATCACCTGAGGTTAGGAGTTCAAGACCAGCTTGACCAATGTGGGAAACCCCATCTCTACTAAAAATGCAAAAAAAAATTAGCCGGGCATGGTGGTGGGTACCTGTAGTCTCAGCTACTTGGGAGGCTGAAGCAGGAGAATCACTTGAACCCGGGAGGTAGAGGTTGCAGTGAACCAAGATTGCGCCATTGCGCTCCAGCCTGGACTCCCAAGAGCAAAACTCTGTCTCAAAAAAAAAAAAGAAAAAAAATTGTTGGGGCCTATTTCTAGCCCAAAATTGATAGCACGAATTCCTAGAGTAAGTTGACTTTTAAGTTGTTGGTCTCTGAGTCCTCTAATTTTTGTGTGGTTGGATATTGGGCAAAAAACCCCTTTAATGGACAGTTATGAAATAGCGTGACAGGTGGATGCCTTGTTAGGATAAAACCAGCAACTTTACATTGAACCCAATTAAAAACCTTTTAAAGAATTTTTATGTATGAGAAATTGATTAAAAATGGTATCGAAATTTTCTGTTACTGAAATTCTCATTGAGAAGTGGCTATTTCTACATGAACCCTTGGTTTTTTGTTTTTTTTCTTTGAGAAAAAAATCTACTTTAGATGCTTGTTGTA